ACAGCAATAAGGGGGATCATTAAATTGAAAAGGTATTGGCATATTGTACTCTTTTTCCTTCGCTCAGGTTTTGTTCCACTAGGTTTTCCTGACAAGGTTTTAATGAGGCAGTTTTATCCTATACAATACCATTTTCATATACACAAGAATATTGTACTCTTTTCCCTTCGCTAAGTTTTTATCCCACTGGGTTTTTCTTAGCAAGGTTTTAACGAGGCATATTCTTAGTGTTGTGTAGTGGACCCCAAGGGGGAGTGTTATATATATATGTGTCCACTAATTGCATAGTGTTAAATTAATGGTGCATTAAGGATGTGAGTTAATGGTGCATTAAGAATGTGAGTTAATGGTGCATTAAGGATGCAAAGTTTGGCTATAAATACGAATTGTTCATTGTTGTATTAAGGTACTTGGATTTAAGAGAAAGTAATAAGATCTCTCTCCCCTCTCTACATTCTTCTCTCTATATTGAAGATATAATTTTGTGTTCTATATTTTCTTTAGTTTTATAACATATTTATTTTTCTTTTCGAGTTCGAAGAGGTTTAGATACATCAATCACCACTCGTTGCATTAAAATCTCTAACCTCCACTTTCACTAATACGGAATCAATGATCACAAATTTTTACATGTAAAATTCAAGACAAGAAGACACTCAAAATTCAAAAGATATTACCCGTCACCTAATTGGTACATAATCTAATTTTTTATACGGTTGTGTGTTCATATTAGAATCCCTTCCCCTAGTTTGCTTTGTCCTGAATAAAACAAAAAAATGCAATATAACACCGTGACTCAACTTCCACGTGTGCAAATTTAATATTTTTCAACACTAGAATAAATAAATAAATAAATAAAAGGAAAAAAAAAAAAAAAAAGAAGAAGAAAAGAATCAATAAAAAGCACAGAACTTACACTACAGAAACTTTGAAGTTGATTACCCTTTGAATTAAAGGGGTTGCTTTTTGAAGTTTGGGGTTGTGGCTTGGTGTAACGGGTGGAATGTTTGCTTATTTATCCAAAAGTTTAAGTTGTTGGGTAATCATTTTTTCATTCAAATTCGAAGTGAGACAAATGATCCTTATTACATTTTCTCCCACCCAAACTTGCAACGCCCTTGTTGCGGCTCGAGCCACTCTGCCTATCCACTTATTTATATCCGTTTAAACCCGGACGCCCACCGGACCGTGCACTTGACGTAACACTGGATCAAAGATTAGGTCTAATTCTTATACTAACTGTAATGGGTGGGTGTTTATCCATTTACTCAAAAATTCAAACTGTTGGGTAATTTTATATACCCATTTATTTATACCCAATCACTTTTTCATTCGGATTCTATGCAGGACAAATAACCCTTATTACACTTATAAGTACGGACCAGCAAATCGACTCCAAGGCCCATCCTAACATTGACTCTCACACCGGCATTGAACCAGGAAATAAATATGTTGAAAGGACTAGAGCCTATTTGGTCATTTTAATTTAATAAAAGAATGAGTGGAGTGCCGGCATTTGTTTTTTGAGCGCCCAATTTTAAAACATTAAGTATCTTAATTATAAAAAGTAAAATTAATAAGTATTGTACACTCTCAATACTTTTATACTGTTGTTCTCTTCCATGAACTTGTTTGGGTATCTTTTATAACTAGAAAATTCATCAAATAAACAAAGAAACAAATATATCAATATCATTATAAACAATGTGTTCTATTTTTTAATATTGTGGATTCATTCTTAACTCTTTTTTCTTAGTTTGATACTCGCACACATGTGCTTTCAATTCCTAACCTTCTTTTGAAAAATAGAAATCTGGTACTGCTAAGTATGTTAGTAATTCATTCTTGATTTTATATATTTCTAACCGTTTTTTTTTTATACTAAGTATTAGGTATATTTTGAATTATTACTGTCTATAATAATTTCTTATATGGTTATTTAAAATCATGAATTAAAAAAGAATTTAATTTTATATCATTAATTCTTGTGTGGAAGAGGATTATGTGGCTAAGGTGAACTCACATAGTAACACAGAGCAGAAACGTAAAAGTGACAAAATTTAAACTTTGATTAAAACATGATCACATTGTACATTCATATTTGTATTAGGGATGGCCACGGATTGGATCAGATTAGGCATCAATCCAAAGGTTTATCCAGTCGCTCAGGAAGTTGCAAAGTTTACAAATGCATATAAAGATACCAATGTTATATTTGGGGCACCACCGAATTGGCAGTTTGAATTTAGTGGAGAAAATTTAGTTCAAATTTTGTACTAAATTTCTTCTAATTTCGAATTCAAAGTACCGATTCAGTGTCCCAAACGCAACATGAATTTAACATCGTTTTCATTTATATGTTCAGAGAGTAGTTGATGATAAAGATTTTAAAAAGTCATTGTTTTTCCCCCAAAAATAAAAAAAGGAGTTGAAGATCTTAGAAAAAATTAGATTTTAGTCATTGAAATAAAACAAAATTGCTTTGCAATAACTCAGAATCTTTTCTCGACATCACAAGCTTTTAATGGACGTGGATCATTACCCTACACTGTCACCTTTGGTGGTTCTGCATTTATAGCCATTACAAGAAAATGTATACTACCAAATATAAGAAGAAGAAAAAAAAAAAGTCAACAAAACAAACTTAAAACAACCAAAAACATTTTACCAAACAAATTAAGAGACATGTTTTTCCTTTTGCTTGGCTAGAATTACCCACAAATGAAAACATTGGCAAAATCAAGCAAGATATGAATTGCCTTAAAATTCACATAAAAAACCACTTACTAATATTGATTTGATAAATTCTACCTCAATTTCAATTTATGCAAATAGTTTACAGTTGGATTTAGACCATTTGGTTTAAGTTTCATAGCACACTATTCTAAATTTCTAATAATACTAAGCTTAACCTTACTACAATTTATTGGAGGCAAATACTGCTCACTTCTCACCAAGACAACAGTAGTATAAGATTATCCCGAGCCATTCCCAATGAAAAACCAAAGCAACCAATGCCAGATACCTGCAGCGAATGAAGAAATAAATATTTTTTCAATGAACGTGTCTTTAAACAGAGCTACAAATTGATGAGGAGAAGCACAATATCAACGCTGTTTGTTATATGCAAATTGAATAATAAGGCAAAACAGTAATTCAAACATACACTAAGTCCAAGATTTTTTGAAATACCTGAAGGCCAACATAAACAGTAAGAAAGCAAGTTACGTTATTGCTGAAGAATTATAGAGAGATCACATAGTCTAATCAATATTGCAGCGGCCGAAAGCAAAGAACCAACTGCATAAACATATATGAAGATAAAATACACGCCATCATGAAACAATAAATGCTGGTTGTGATAAAAATCAGATCAGATTAGGGGTTAATATCAAGTCCACAATACCGATTACATGTGAATAGCATAAGCATGCTAAGGAATGAGCTGCCACATATAATCCATCAAAGAAATGAGTTGATGAATCTGGAATTTCTTCATGCCTCTACCGTGATTAAGTTGGGGTTGCAGAACTATGCGATTGAAAAAGAGAACCACCACCTAAGCCATTTAAGCAAAATTAGGTGAAATAGAAAAAAGGAACAAAATTGTGTTTCTGTAGATGTAATTAATGTCAAGTCAAAAATTAAAAAAATGCGGATCAATTTAGTTTCAGCTGCAAATTTCGCAAACAAAAATAAATACTGTAATAGTCACAAGAAGTTTATATTGCTGCAAACCTTCGACAACATCAGATAACCATGAAAATGGAACTTAACTACAAGAACAAAGTAAATATAGTGGCACTACCTTGGAAATAACCGACAACAACTGATTAGCTAAATATGTTGAGACCAGAAAAGATCGGCATTTATATGATGTAAATTAAAATAACTCGAAGACACGAACAATGCAATTTACAACATTTTTAGAAGTTTCAACTTAAAAGGCAAGAGAACTCAGACTTTTTATACAATAATAACTTGCGCAGAATTTCAGAAAATTCCAGCTTATAGAAAAATTTCAGTCTCCAAGTAACAATAGGATGTTCAAAGTAACATAGAGTATTAAGATAATAACACACTTATAATGTTCCACTGCAAATATGCATAATTTACATGCTGCCAAAGTATTCACAACATCTTACATTTTACAACAACAAAGCACTGTTTCAATGGAGTGCTTTTGGGAGCAAGTTGTGGACAGTCACAAAAAGTAAAACAAACAATTATATACTATTAATAATAAATGGTTGATAGCAAATACCGCTAGCTTGTTACCCGAAGACAACAGCAGTTGAAGATACTCCTGGGCATTCTCCAAGACAAGTTGAGCAGGAGCACGATGCCCAGAAACAATCCGAGCAGCCAAAGCAATGAATTCTGTCACCAGGACCAGCATTTATAAGGCACATGAGAGATCTTAAAAAAAAAAGGAGATAATACATCAAGACCCAATTGCACATATAAAGACTGCCATTTGGCAAAATATGTTCATGGAATTTAATTTTTCCACAAAAGAGCTGCAAGTTGATGAGGAACTCATAGGTAACAACTAACAATCACAAAACTCTATGATATAGTGAAAGAAATTTTCCATGTTTTGAAATTTAAAAGAACGCCAGAATCGAGAAATGTGAACAATGTTGTTTTATGCTTTAGATATTAACCAATGCAAGTGTTCTGTAAATATGAAGTTACTTGAAATATTGATTGTTATCCCTTAATTTATCTGAGAATGTGTACATCATTTCTTTTCTTGGTAATAAAATACAATCAATATTTTACAAAAGAACATGGATAAAAGGAGAAAATTACTCATAAAAGCGTATACGGTAGAATTGAATTGATTTTTGCAAGAAACTGGGAGAAATCAAAAGGATTGCTTCTTTTTTTCTTTTTCTTTTTTTCTTAATGCACGTAGAGTAGAGCAGGAAATTCCAATTGAAGAAGAAGAGTTAATGTGAGTTTACCGAATGGGCTTTATCTTCCCCAAGGGAAATTTATTCATATATGTTGTAATGGGCATCTATCTTCACGCAAGGGATGTCGACAATCATTGGCCAGTAATCTTCTCTCTCCTTCTTACACCTTTTTTTTAGATTTGGACAGTCTCTTATTTTCAGCGATTGAAGCGTGGAAGCCAGCACATCCATAGGCAAGGACCCAAGATTAGGGCAATTGTAGAAATCTAGATGTTGAAGAGAGGTGGGGTTTTGGAACCCCTTTGATGATATGCATTCCACATTAGAAAGACCCTGGATGGATAACTCGGTTAGACTTGCAGGAAACACACACAACGCTTCATCAGGAAAGCAAATCATCTCCGAAAATCCACCATAGATGCTGAATGTTTGAAGGGAGGTGAGTCTGTGCAGACCCCACTCTGACAGGGATGGCTTCCCGTAATCACCATCAACTGAAATTGTAACTAGTTTTGGGGGCAAATTCCCATTCCTATTCCAATTGCCAAACAACTCAAGATTTGGACAATCATATAAAAAGAGGTATGTCAGGTTTTGAATCTGATCGAATGGCGGCAAAGACCTCAGATTCACGCAACTGCCGATAGAAAGTCTTGTCAGGTTGGTAATGGAGGATAAACCACCTCTTTCTGGGAAGCACTCCAAACTATCGCAATCCCATATATCCAGTGCAAGGAGAGTTGCAAAATGGTTGACGCACCCAACTAACCTTCCCATATTTGGCCAATTATGTATGGATAAACCTTGAAGGGAAGACATATTACTACTAATACTGTTCTCATCATGTACCATTGTCTCCGAAACCCACTCCAATTCCATGCAATTTATTATATTAATATACTTGAGTGTGGTGGGAAACGTGTCTTCTGTTAGACACCACCTCAAGTCCTCACAATCTATGAGCCAAAGCCAGCCAAGCAAGGGTGGGAGACCTTTTTCTGGAAAGCGCACAAGTTTTGAACACCCACTCACAAACAACAACGTAAGAGACTTTAGGTTGTTCAACCCATTTGGTAGCTTCTCCAGATTGGCACACTCACTTATTTTCAAACTTTCAAGTTTACAAAAGGGTACTAGCAGCAATGTTTCTTCTTCCCCCAATGTCAAACCATTCTCCCAAGGAGTTAACAGTTGGTCACGTTCATTAAATTCAAGTTTTTCAAGTGCCACCAGAAATTGCACGACTTCATCTGGGAGAATACATAGTCCTTTAACCCTCTCAACTTTTAAGCTGGTTAGTGATGTCAAATCAATAACATTTTTTAACACTATCTCGTCACATTCTTACACAAATAATTCACGAAAACATGGAAGACTTAAAACTGAAATCCTATTCAACTTGGGATTTTTACGCATGGTAAGTACCCTAAGACAAGACAATTGTCTTGTAACTTTTTGCATGCCATTATTGAAGAAACACCATTCCTCCAATTCCGGCATATCCTCAAATGTTAGACTCTCCAGTGAAGGAAATGGAGATTCTAATGGATAATCATATTTGCAAAACTCAGCCCCAATGCTTTTAACTCCATACATGCCTCTAATGAGTAAGTCTTTGAGCAAGGGCAGTTGTCCGAGTGGTGGTAATGATTCGCATTTTGTACAACCACTGAGACTTAGATTCATCATTTCAGAAAATGTTGGATTTCCCATCATCCAAGTTGGAAAGCTCGCGCCCCTGTAGAATTCAACTTTGAGCTTTTTCAACTTTCTTTGTGGCTTTAGGGTGTCAAGTGCATGCATTTCAAGCTCTTCACTTCTAGAACCATCAAAATCTTCACTCCATCCCAACTTTAATTCATCAAGGTCCTTCATACCCATTAAATTGGCCTCCATTGCTTCTCCAACATCCGTTACATTTTCTAACTTCAAAATAGAAAGCTTCCCGCATAGATGCAGTAGATTCTTCAACTCCGATAGTCTTGACCTGTTGCTTTTTCCCACAATAATCTTTGACAGTGTCTGCAAATTTGTCAATTTGCCAATCCCCAAGGGCATCTCTTCAAGTAACTCAGTGTTAGCATTGTCAAGATGACGCAGGTTAATTAAATTTATAATGCTCAAGGGCAACGTACGAAGAGATGTGCAGTTGCGCAATGACAGTATTTGTAAATTGTACAAAGTACCCAATGATTCAGGCAACCGTTGGATTAAAGTATAAGATAAATTGAGATATCGTAAATGCTTCAAGTTGCAAACGAAATTTGGTAACTCGCTTATTCTATAACCAGACAAAGACAATACTCTTAAGCAATGTAATTTAGGCAATAAATCAAACAGGATCTTATTACCTAAGTAGTGATATTTTGGCTTGGTGGACACTTTGTGAATTGGTAATGGTAAGAAAGTACGCAGATGTTGCATCTCATAAAGACTTGAACTTTTGGAAGATTTCATACCATTGACTTGTGTAAGACAAGTGCCGAGTCCGTTTAGAAATTGTAGATTGCTCGTTACCATCAAAATTATCATTTGCCCTAAAACATATTTCTCCAGCAACAAATTGAGCCAAATCATTAATGAGGTCATGCATCACAAATCTCTCCTTGTTATCACTTGATCGCTGAAAAAATGACCTTGACAGTAAATCATCAAAGCATTCTTTGCCAAAATCTTCCAAACGCATCTTTTCTTTATTTAGCTGCAAAAGACCTGTTGCCATCCATAACAAGATCAACACATGTTTGTCAAATTCATAGTCTTTCGGAAATATTGAGCAGTACGTAAAACAACGCTTCAAATGGGGTGGGAGATGAAAGTAGCTCAGTCTAAAAACTGGGAGAATATTACTTTTTTCTTGTGGAAGCTCCTATATTTCGCTATGCAATACAGCCTCCCACTTTCTCTCATCGAATTCATTGCGTAAGATACCTACGAGCGTCATTACTGCCAAAGGCAAGACATTACATTTTTTCACTATTTTGTCGCCAATTTCTTTCAAATTCAGATGTGCATCAAAATTTGTACTTCCAAGTGCATACTGAGCAAACATAGATCGACATTCATCATGAGATAACTTCTGTAGATGGTAAGTTGGAACAGCCGGAATAGAACTCATCACTGAAGTTACCCCTTCATTGCGAGTGGTACAAAGAATTTTGCTTCCTGGTGCCCCAACCAGAAAAGGGCGACGTATGAGGTCCTACTGTTGAAGATTCTCATTCCAAATATCATCCAAAACAAAAAAGAACTTCTTCCCTGACAGTTTTTCCTTTAGTTTTAGTTGAAGTGTATCTAGATCATTGAAGTCATAAATTTGGTGTGTGAGCTTTTCAAGAATTGTCTTGGTCACCCCCAAAAACATCAAAATCATCAGAAACACAAACCCATGCCTTCATATCAAAAAGATCCTTCATAGCGTCATCATCATAGATGAATTGAGCGAGAGTGGTTTTACCAACACCTCCCATGCCCACAATGGGAATGACAGAGACGGTCTCGTCACTAGTATTTCCACCCCTCATCTGCAACAACTCAAGTATTGCACTTTTATCTTTTTCTCTACCATAAACATGAGATTTGTCGACCAAAGAAGTACTGGTGGGTAATCTTTCTCTTACTCTTTTCCCTCCGGCAACTTCTTTCAAACCCATATCATTTTTTTGTTTTACAATCTCTTGTAACCTGGCAGTGATGACCTCTATCCTGGACCTCATATGACGATCACACATAAAAGCACTAAGAGTAGGGAAGCTAGTACAACTAGTAGGGATGAGCTTCCTTACCTTGCTGGTGCTAGCATGAGTTGGTTCCTTATTCATCAACTTGCATCGCAAAGCTTCGGTGGCAAACTCGTCTAGCAAATCATCCAAATCGTAAGCCAGGTCGTTGAGATCCTCCAGCCACATCTTCGCAGCTCTGTCTGATATCTGCTTCTCCTCTGCGTCGCCAATCACGGCTTGAATGATGAGCAGCGTCTTGCTCAACTTCTCCAACTCAGCATCAAGTCCTTCTTGACGTGCAAACTTCTCCAATACACCAGACGTCAACTTTTCTAATTTCACCTCAAGGAACGCTGCCAGAAAGATCTCTCCGATAACCATATTTTCCTTTGTCTAAAAGAACCGATCGATCAGCTATGCGATTATGAGAAAACAAAAGAAACGAAAGCTGAACACGTACAAATGTGTTCCATTTGTGAAAGCTTGAGGAAGTCAAATATGTCTATGGCCTGAAACTAACCAATAATTCATGACATGTTAGAAGCTAATTAATTGGCCAGGACTTCAAAGACCAAGCTTTTTATTGGTCTGGAGGATTACAATCTTATCACAACGCCCAAATAATTGTGTTCCTTTAGATGTTCAAAGAGTAGCTGATATAGATTCTAAATGTGTGTGTTAATTTGCCCCCAAAACAAAAAAGATTTGGGCACTTAGCTCCGTTTAAAATACTCTTAATATTCTTAATATTTTACTTTTTCAGAGAGTTGTATATATTTTATGACAATCAAATATCAAAAAATAAAAAAATATTTTTTAAAAAATATTTTAAGTCCAAACAAAAGGAGAGACCTATAAACACAAGAGAGAGCCTCCTAACAAAGAAGTGCCAATAAAGGTAGTTGAAGAGAAGCCATTTTTATATATATGATTTTGTTGGGCCTGTTAGCTACCCTCTGCAACTAGCATCTTCCCAAACTGGTTATTGAGATGGTTTTGTGTTTTTCAATCACCCCATATCTCGAAATCTATTAATTCTTGACTTCATAAGCTTTTCGAGAGAATGGGTCATTACCCTATTTCTGCATCCATAGCCAAGAAAAAGTATAGCAAATATAGGGAAAAAAAAAAGAAGGAAAACAAAAGTCAATAAAGCAAACTTAAAACAACAAAAAAAAAGAATTTACCAAACAAATTAAGATAAATACTACAAAAAAAACGATTGACATTGAGATAGAATACCGTAGACACTAAAATTTTAGTGAACTTTGGTTTTGACAAATAGACCCATTAAATATGGGCCTAATGTTTAATTAAGTTATTTAATTGGCCCAAGTTTGGTCCACTTAAATTATTTAACTAAGTCCAGTCCAGATGGTTAAATAAAAAGAATAATTATTCCTAATAAAATATATTTGGAATAATTTTTTTTTAAAGATAATTATCATAATATATCATGCCCGGCCCAGTTATAATATTTTCCTTATCAGAGAGGACACGTGTCATCATCCTATGAATCTAAGAAGCCTATAAATAGAGGCTTGGAGGAAGAGAGAGGGGACACAAATTGAGAATTCAGAAATCTAGAATTCCAGAGAAATACAAAAACTCTCATCCCCAATATCCAAACCCAAAAGCGAAGAACATCAAGCACATCCAACAACGTACCGTTCTTCATCAAATCCCACGGTGATCAACAAGAAGCACTTCTAACGACGTACCGTTCTTCATCAAATTCCACGGTAATTCAAGAACAAGCTCGTGCAGCCCTTGGATCCAACCAACAACAAAAAGGAGATCGAATCAGAGGACCATTCTTTTTGTAAAAGATATCACAAAGGATTGTACTCCAAATATTTCTGATTTAATAAATTATTATTTTGCCCATATTTTGTCTTTATTGCAGAGTACAAAATTTGTGTGTAAAATTTCTGGTATGCCCGGTGGGACATCCTTTGCCTCTCATCTCTTTCTCCTATCATCAAGTTTCCTTTTCTATCAAATTCTATGGCTCCCTCTAAGACTCCGACAGACAAAAATGCCCAAAAGAACATCGCTACCACAAAGGTCGACGCCAAAACCACCATGAAAAATGGCACGAAGGCCAAATCAAGTGATGGAAGTACCTTGGCGAGCCCTGTGACACGTAGCAAGTCCCAGGGGATGGCTTCATCCAAACATCGGCAAGACTTGGTGAAAACCAATCCTGCAAAGCCGGCAAAAGTGAAAACCCAACATGTCAAGAACCCTGACGTTGTTCCAGAGGAGATTCCGCCACCAGATTCACCTCATTCCATCCATGATGCTCACTCTAGTGTCAGTTCACCCTCAGAGTCACCACGTCAGACTTCGGAGTATGTAATCACTTCAAGAAACGTTGACTCTTAAGGCCTATCATACTCAGATGTGGTCGCTGCTATGATGACTGGAGCTGCCACGATGGAGGAACAACTAGCAACTATGTCTCATGCCATTGAGAACCTCACAAAGACTGTTGAAGAGAAGGACTTACAAATCACTACGCTGATGAACAAATTGGAAGTTCAGACCTTCGATGAATCACCAGTACAATCTGGGCATCCTACATCTTCCACAGCACCGCCAACTGGGAATCGTACAACTTTCACACCACCACCGTCTGGGAATCCTACATCTTCCACAGCAATGCCGACGGAGAATCTTAATTCTACCACACAAGGTACTCGCATGGAGGACCCCAAACAGACTCATGTGACAGAACAGGTGGCTAGTCAAAACCAGACGCCGGTGACAGAACAGGCAGCTAGTCAAACCAATCATGCTTCTTTAGTCTCTTCATTATCTATCGCACGATTGCAAGATATGATAACGAATACAATCCGAGCCCAATATGGAGGCGTCTCACAGAGCACTCTCATGTACTCAAAGCCCTATACAAGGAGAATCGACAGTATGAGGATGTATGTAGGATACCAACCTCCGAAGACTCAGCAATTTGACGGAAAAGGTAACCCCAAGCAACACATTGCCCGTTTTGTCGAGACTTGTAACAATGCTGGAACAGAGGGGGACTTACTAGTTAAACAGTTTGTCCGCTCCCTTAAAGGAAATGCGTTCGAGTGATATACCGACCTAAGTCAGAGTCAATTGATAGTTGGGACCAAATGGAACGAGAATTCTTGAACAGGTTCTATAACACTCGTTGTACTGTTAGTATGATAGAGTTGACTAACACGAAGTAATGGAAGGATGAGCCTGTAATCGACTACATTAATCGGCGGAGAGCACTCAGTCTTGACTGCAAGGACCGATTGTCAAAAATCTCTGTTGTGGAGATGTGTATGCAGGGAATGCAATGGGGTCTTCTTTACATTCTACAAGATATAAAACCTCACACATTTGAAGAATTGGCAACAAGTGCCCATGACATGGAGATCAGTATGAAATCCCATGAAGGCAAAAGTCCCGTGGCCATAGAACCACGCAAAGATAAGAAAGACTGGAAGAAGGGCGATAAGTCGTCAAAGACCGCTGCTAAAGATTCCATGGCTATCTCAACCACCCCAATCAAGATATCTGTTAAAGATGATAAGAAGGATGATAAAAAGCCTCGCCAGTTTCAAGAGAGGGAAAGACAGCGTCCTACGCTAAAGGAGTTAGAGAAGAAGGAATACCCCTTCCCCGATTCTGATGTCCCTGGCATCTTGGAATGTTTACTCGAAAGTAAAGTTATAGAACTCCCTGAATACAAACGCCCTCAAGAGATGGGACGTGTCAACGATCCAAAATACTGCAAATACCATCGTATTGTCAGTCATCCAATTGAGAAGTGTTTTATCTTCAAAGAGGTGGTGATGAATTTGGCAAAACAAGGAAAAATCTTGTTGGACACGGACGAAGTTGTAACTTCAAATCATACTACTGCTACTGTGACAACCTCTGTCATGGGGAGTGCTCGTTCTCAACCTTTAACTTCTGAGATATATTGCACAACCATCCAGTTTAGCTCATTGGAACTAATCCCTATCTCTCTTGGCAAAGGGAGTGCAATTGACGTTTCAACCTTTGGAAGGGTCTTTCCTCAGGATGATGAAGAAGGATGGACTCTGGTGACAAGAAAGAAACCACGGAAGCAACAAGCTGACATTTTTCAGACTAGTTATTCTGACAGGGGGCAAAGGAAGAAGAAACCTTAATATCACTATAAGCAGTCTGGCTATAACAGAAAATGGGTCAAGAAGACACAGTCAACCAAACACGCCTCTATAAGCAAAAGGATCCAGAAGCCCATTACTTTATAAGAGTTCTTTCCAGAAGGATATCTAGATGACGAAGTTGTGACAGCTTACATGGTTTCAACTAAAACGAGCCCTGATGGTGAGAATAGCAAGGATCAAAATGAAGCCCAGACTGTGGA